TGTTCTGTAATATAAAATATGTAGGCAACGCTTTTTAATTTCTCTTATTATCAATCTGCTTCTTTTTCTCTTTGGAATCATTGTATTTTTTTCTTGATTCTCCAGAATAAACTCTTCTCATTTTCCCAAAGTGTCCTTTGCTTAGCCCCAAATCTTAGCTATATTCTGCTTGTCATTTTCTCCAGTTGTTTTTAAAATTTATTTTAAATTAAATATTTGTGATTTGTATTTGTATATATTTACGGAGTACAAAGTGCTATGATTTTTTAGTAATAGTGGGATGATTAAATCAAACTATGTATTTGTGTAGTCTTTCAAAATATTTATCACAGTTTTCAATTATAAATTTATTTTGTATTTATGATTATTTCATGACTTTTTATCAGTGACCATCATAGCAAATGATGTCAATTTCCAAAATAATGTAATTATATTCTGGAAAATTTCAATGCCACACAAAATCATTAATGGTACTTTAGTATTTTATATATCACCACAGTCAAATCTTTCTAGTTCAGTTCATTTTCTTCCTCTTCTAATATCTGCCTCACTTTATTAGGAGGAAAAGGCAACAGGAGAAATAAACATATACAATATCTTGTGTTGTCCTCTAACTTCTATCTTATTCTCTCTCTTTTTTTATAATATAATTTAAAGGCTATTGAAACCAAATATTTGTAAAATTTGCTAGGTTTTGTAAAGTATTTAATATACACAGGCATTTAATATATAGAAGATAATTCTATAAAATCAGTACCACTACACTTTGTATGTGTATGTTAGTATTTTTTGCCGTGATGCTAGACAAGTCAGGATTCCATTCACTTTAGTCAATCATCAGAAGTTAAACTAGAGTTCCAGTACAAAGTGGTATACCGCATAAACAGATAATGAAATACAGTGTGTCTTAATGTGGAAATTTGGTGGCAGAGATTCCCATAACAACGTAAAATTATCCAAAAACAATTAATGAAAACTTCAATAATCCCCTTACAAAATACCAAAGGAAAAGAAACTGTGGCCTTATAATATTAAATTTGAAGTTTGCAGTTAAATTATTGAAGCATATTTTGACATAAATATTTGTAAACATATCTGCACTCTAACTTATTCATTTTAATCTTTGAATTAATCAGTAGTTGTAAAAAGAAATTCTAATTTCTGTATGTAGTGTATATTTTCTGCCTAAAACAATAGCACTTGAGCATCTATGATTATTAATATTTAAATTAATTAAAATAAATTTGTAAATCAAAGTGCTTTGTCATATTGCACACACTCTGGGTATTCAGTTTCTGTATGTGGTTATAGACAACCTTATTGGTGACATTGTATATTCTATGAACATTTTCATTATCAAAGAAAGTTCTACTAGAAAGAGATGTTATAGAGTTCAGTTAGTGATAACTCAACTATATGAACAATAAGTTTTATAAAATACTGACCAATATTTAGCAACAAGATAAGGTCTTTCAAATGTATTGCAGAATATACAATGTGCACACTTTCACTGCTTAAGAAGTAAAAGTAATTTTACAATAAAATGTACATGTATCTTTAGTCATTAAATAATATTGTAAAAAGTTGCATTTTATATAGAATGTCTTAGTTTTTCCATGTATATAAATTCATTCTTACCTCCAAAGGAGGTTTAATTATGACATAGCTAAAAAGTTTTTAAACCCACTCTCAAGACCGTTTTCCACAAACCAAGGACAATATCTTGTGTCTACTATAAGATTGGCTAAAATTAAGTATTCCAGCAGTTAATTGTGGAAGTGAGACAGGTGATTAGAGTACAGCAAAGCTGACTCAAGCCTGACCTGTTAATTACAAGATCATAGACACACTGAGCAAAGCTGTAAAACAGTTCCTAACTTGTAAACCTCTCCCGAGAGAACTTGACCAGATTGTCAGTGGGATGGGCTAGGCCAGCGTGAGGCATAAATTGCAAACACTACCTCCCAGGACTCATGTAGAAGTCTTTGTGAATTTACTCCAGATTTGGAGAGCATAAAAGGACACATAGGTGTCATGATGAACTTGCTATCATAACTTTCCACAATAGCCCATATTGCATTTGCCAGATACAGTGAATGTACTTTTATTTATGCTTTTACCCTTTTTCTCTTAACTCAGTCCAAGCTTGCTCTGCAGAGCCAATTTGTCCTCCACTCTTCACTTTTACTTTCTCAGGAAAGTTTTGTCAATGCTTATTTTCTCATTTCATTCTATTCTTTGATCCAGACCAGAAGAACTTGAAATCTAACTCCAGAAGGAGAGGCAAGTACACATAACCCAGTAACGTTTAGTTGGTGAGCCACTTTAGAAGCAGACTAGCCAACAATAAAAGTTGAAGGTATAGTTCAGTAATATATGGCCAATTCAGCATGCACAAAGGACAAGGTTCAATCTCCAATATACACTATGCACACAAACGTTCATTGTGCGTACAAAGGAATTAATTGTGAGCCTGGATATCTCAAACCAAAGATGTTAAGAAAAAACTCAAGGGAGAGTTTTTCATTCTAACTTAAAAAGTGCAAAGGAGGAAAACTTTTAATTTTTAAAGAAAAAGATGTAGAGTCTTTACAACTATTTTTTAGTACTATGTGGTTGTAAAACAACACAGAGTTGGTTGAAAGTGTTCAACATATACTAATTTTGGAAAGTAATTAACACATCATTTATGATTAGCGAACACATTTATAAGAAATAACCAAGATTAAGTTTCATTTATTTGGGCGAGTTTTGCCTTTTCACAAGATTGGCAACAATGTCTCTATTTTAATTTATTTTAGCACAATTCACTAGAAACTTCCAAACACTAGTAAATTAGACTACAAATATTCACCAAAGAATAACTTCCCAAAGCCATAGTCTGATGAATTCCAAAAAGTCTTCAGATCAAAATTGCATGGTAGCATACATTAATGTAGATTATTTATGAAATTATAAGCATAAACTTATAGCGATAAATATTCATCTATTTATGGATTAGTTATATGAGTGTGAAATAAAGTATATAAAAAGTAGAATAAGTTGTATGTTCTAAAAACCTGAAAGTAAACCAGTTGGAGAGATTTCATTACTCATGCAGAAATCTAACTGGTTAGATTCTAAAAGCCTAATGACATGTCAGTGAATTAACCAGGGTAAAATCTATACCTTCTTGGTTTCATAGCACATCAAAGTATAGGATGGCCATAGGCATATTAGAATCATGAAGATTAATTCTACTAAGTCAGTCAACTTAATGATACTTAATGGCATTAGGTCCTGACAGACTAATATATATATATATATATATATATATATATATATATATATATCTTCAATCAGACAAGTTGAAGATTCTGTATATATTTTCTGAGGCACCATACCTTTGCACTGATATGTTTTTGTACTATGAATTTGTGAGTCTCTTGAAGCACTGTACTGTCAGTTGAATGTTACATAAATTGCCTCCATGAGTTCTGAATACATATATTCCCAAATATTTTCTATAGTGGAAAGTGAAATAGTAGCACACATCCTTCTCAGAAGAAAACCATGCTGTAAAAATTGATATTCAATACTGAGACACTTCTGAAAATTTTTCTTGAGATCTGAGATTTAATATAAGTAACTTAGCCACTGCTTTCTCATCAAGTCAATTTCAAAAACTACGTCACTAAGGTTTATTTTCATAATTATCATTTGTAAATGCGTCATGTATATTTATATACATATTTAGTTTCAAAATTAAGGCTAAAGTGAAACAAGATGACATCAACAGTAAGATATTTGTTGCACAGAGTACTTAGTAAAAAGCAAGGAAAAACAATTACATAAACTCTCAGATTTTGTGCTTCATTAGATGTAACATAAAGAACTATACCTTATTATTTTGTCACATTAACATAAAGTTATAACCCAAATAAGAAAACTAGGCAATCACAAAACATAAGATTATAAAAGTATATCAAATTCAAATCAATGTTACTGTACCATTAAATATTTGTGTTTCATATTGGAGACAAGTTTTTATAGCATTTTCTAAGTAAATCTCAGTAAATAAAGAGTATAACTCCTCTAGAAGTTAGGTATTACATTTAGTATGTTCATATTTTCAAAATGTAGCAAATCCTTAATCAATTAATGTTCTTGGGAGATAAATATTATTGTAGTGGTTTTAATGTAGCACAATCCAATTACTTTAATTATCCTAAATGTAGAGGAATTCCACCCATTTAAATTCAGGAAAAACCAGCAAGAATGTTTTAGATGAAAAGCAATTTTTTTTTCTTAAAAAGAACATACAGAAAAATTTTTATTGCAACAGAAAAAGGTCTGAGGCCAGGGACATAGGTCAGCAGCAGAGTGGCTATCCAGCAAGCATGATGTTGTGAGCTCGATTCCTGATATCAAAAAAAAAAGGCTGGATGATTTGTTTTTATTAAAATCTAAATGTGTCAATAAGAATTTTGCGCATATTAGCACTGCGGTAACCAGGCATGGTGATGTGTGCCTCTAATCTCAGCACTCAGAAGGATGAGACCAGAGGATTTCCACGAATAAATGGCCAGCTTGATCTACATAAAGAGCTCAGTACCAGCTTGGAATATATAGCAAGATGCTGTAGATATTTATAAGTTTATAAAAAACAAAAACAAACAAAAGAACACTGAGGTATTAAAAATTACACAAAGGCATTATGGGATAAGGAAAGTTTGTCTGGAAAATAACTCCTTCTCACAGGCTGACAATTATCCTGGCTCAGCACAATAAACAACTGTCAAATTTTCTCCTTGTTTGTACCCAGTCTGAACCTTAGTGCATAATTTGTCAAACTGAATTGGTCTAATTATTTGGATGGACAAATGACTTTAGAATCTGCTGGTTTTCCTTTTCTTTGTGATCAAACTTTCAGAAGAACAATTACTGTAAAGTGCTATAGTTGTTTTTTATTCTCTTTATTGTTACATAAGCCTTCTTAGTCATGTAGTTTCCCCATCATAATAAATTTCAAAGTACATATACTAAAATTAGAAGGATACAGAGATGATTATCATGGTCTCACCATCAAGCTGACATGAATATTTGCAAAATGTATTTTGTAGCTGTTCTTGGAACTGAAAAATGTGGATAATTATGTGAGGTGATAGATAAGTTAAATTTATGTCAAAGTAGTAACTCTGTGTAAGTTATAACACATTGTAAATTTTAAATATACAATAAATTTATTTTTCAAAAAGAAAATGTGTAAACACCAAATAAATAAAACCATCATTGACAATGTATTTAAAACTGTGCCATAGATTTTATTTTTATTTTTGTTGTTTTTTTAAGCAATGTCTTGCTGTATAGTTCATACTGGCATTGAACTCATGTAATTCAGGCAGGCTTTGAACTCATGGAGATCTTTTTTCCTCAGCCTCTTGAGTGATGAAATTATAGGCATGACAGACTTTAAAGAGGCATAAGTGCACGAAGTTATCTGGAGTTTCTGAGGCTTTAGCAATTTAATTATTTATACATAATATTAAGGAAGTTATCCTTGCAAAACACTCTAAATCTCTCCTCTTTAACTTTTTTTTTTTTTTTATTGGTACCAGGGATCGAACTCATGACTGCCTGCTTGCAAGGCAGGTGCTTATGCCGCTGAGCTAAATCTGCAGCCCCTCTTTAACTTTTCTTAATATTGACTATTATTAAGGAATAAAGGTTTTTATGGTGACTGAATGGTTAGATTTAAAGATTTTCAAGGGGCTGATAGCAAGTGACATCACTGAGTTTTAACTTCAGAAGTGTTTCCTGACTTTGAATCTGGAAGTAAGCATTTACCAACCATTTATCACTAGAAAAACCACTTAAATTCCATGTACCATTTTTTTTCAGTTGTAAAAACTCTCTTCGTTTTTTTCCCGTAGTTTTAACAGTCAATATTTGTAAAATATTTAGAACAGTTTTTCACTGTAAAGCTGTTGATACAGAACTATATATAAATAAAAATTAAAAATTAACATGAGAACATCTCTCTAAATAAAATTTGAGATGGGACAGAATTTGATTCTGTGATGCTTAAGGGCATTAGAGGAGTAATAAAACTTTCTAACGCTCAGTGTTCTTAATGATTTTTGTCTGCATTGGGTATCATAAGACATTAAAAGATAATATTTATAGAAAACCCAAAGGAAGGATTGAGGAAATTATTTGGTTCTATAAAACATATTGACTCTTAGATAATACTTTTACAGGGAAAATAAATTTCATATCTTTATTTTCTAAGTTATCACAAAGTATAATTGAGTAGAATCCACATTAATGAGGTTCAGCTAAGATATTTTAAGCTAGGAAGAGCTGACATATTAAATTGGGGTTATACAAGAAATTAATGCACACAGATCTGCTTTGGGAAACAATTCATTCTTTTTGTGTTGCCAAAATCCTATTTAGCACATCAAAGAAGACTGCCACTTATTAGCTGTGTGATTTAGGGAGAACCATTCAGATTACCTAAAGCATTTTCCTCATCAGTAATATGAAGCTGACAATTCTGTATCCTATTTCCTTGCCCCCACATCAAAAGACAATCATGAATAAAAAACCGTTTTGTAAACAGTGGAGATTTAAGGATAAAAATAAATATGTGTCTTGATTTGTCTTCAAAAACAGAAGATTTATTTGGTTATTTACATAATGACAAAAGAGAAAGCAAGGAGTATTACATTGGGAAGGAGACAAACTAGCAAAAAGCAGGTTTTCCTGTGGGCAAATATGTTTGGTCTTCCTGTGAACCTTATATAGGATAATTACACAGAATGCACTTTGGAATAAGCTTCTCCAGAAGAATAGGAGGCTAGAGTATTTTGCTACAAACACAAGCTTTTCATCAAGGGCATTAAAATCCCAGACTGAATCTGCCAGCAGAGACATTCCTGAGGCAGAAAAACAGAGAAGTCATTTTGTGCTTGAATTAGTACTTAGGAAAGTGCAATGTACTGTGTACCACAGTCACAGCATAGATGTGACCAGAAGTGGACTGAAGAGGCATGGCACAGACAACTATGGTGTGTTTACTATGTTTTTGTGAGTGTGGGATATTGCCCAGGAAGTAATAAGTCACTGTGGTCCACCATTTCTTGGTCCTTTTACAAAGACGTGCTTATACTATTCCTTAGGGCAAGCCCCACAGTTTTTCATCACCACACTATGGTCCTTTAATTACTCCTATTTATGTAGACAGATTCATCAATGCTCACATGTAGGAAACAGGATTTAAGAAGCCCGTATTTGCTAGGTCTTGTCCTTACCTTCATCACTAAAATTGATATCCTATCAGTGTTTTTCATTGTTTTATATATATATATATATATATATATATATACATACATTGTAATATATAGATATAGATTATATAGATATAGGTAGATATAGCTGATATATATATATATTGATATATATATATATATAACTGATATAGATATATATTAATGTCAAAGAAGGCTATGGAAGTACAATTTAAATAAAACCTAGAAATTGTAGAAAATGGGAAAAATGTAAGAACTTTTGCCTGTCTGAATACAACTTGAAGCAGGGCACTTTTACTCACTTTTCATGATATTTCTCATTTTATGGTAAAGAAAAATATGCCAAGTTTCAACTTTTCTTTCAGTTAAGATTCATATTACACCTGAGTACCAAAAAGCAGTATCAATTAATTTAAAATGCAAATTATTAAATTTTATGTCACCTTTTGAATGTCTTTTGATTTCAAAGAGATTTTAATATATTCCTCATTGACCCAAAATCCTCTACTATTCTGAGTTCTTTTGATGACATGACTATGCTGTCCATCTCTGTGTGTCTGTCTCTCATTTCTCTCTGCTTGTGTAAAAACAGTCTGTTTGTTCTGTGAAATAAAATTTGTGGTAAATTATAAACAGCTATAGCTGAAAAATAATACAGATGCACTTTAGTATATGTGCTTCTGAAGAGAGGACAGACAGATATACTTTAAATTATCAACATTATAGTAGCATGTTTTATATTATTTAAAATGACTTGCTTAATATGAACACCTATGCAAATACAAAATATATAATTGTTGTAGTTCAAATTAGCAATCATATTACAATAACTCAGGAATATGATACATACTTAAAGATGGAAAATCTGTAAGTCCTAATTTTTGGACCTTATCTAAGTCTTCAGAAGCTAGGAAATCATAAAGCCATTAGATTTTTACTCTCACTCTTTCACTCCCTAGTACTTGTTTTCCTAGCATTTTTGTTTCTCAGCCTTTTTAAAATTCACATAATGCTCTATTGGTATTTATATTGTATATGGCTCCCATCTCATTTTCCATCACTACTATCCTCTAAAAATATTTATGATTTGCATCCTTGTTAATTTTGGTTTTTATAGAACTTTAACATATTATAGTACCAATTCTAGAGGTTTTATGTTTGTCTGTTTGTTGTCTTTTTTTTTTTTTTTTTTTTTTTAGACAGGGCTTCACTGTGTAGGTCAGTCTGGCCTTGAGTTGACTTTGTAACTCAGGCTGGTCTCGAATTCACAGTAATCTCCCAGTGTCAGTTTTCAAACTTCTGGGATTGCAGGCATGCACGCCCGACCAACCAATTCTAGTATTGCTAATTGATTACAGGTATGCTTTCTGAAGATATAACCTAAAAATGTCCATCGAGATTTCCCGGAAGAGACAGTATTCTGGTTGGGAAACTGTCCACTCACTTTTTTTTTTTTTCTTTCCTGGAGATGGAACTCAAGACTTTGCACTGAGCCATATCCAGAGTCCTTTCTAAATACATGCATTTGTTTTACTGTGAGACAAGGTCACCCAGGATAGTTGAAATTGTGATCGTGATGCCTCAGCCTCTGAAAATGCTGAGATTACAGAAGGGAGCTATTGTATCATCTCAGAGTGCATTCTTGAACCTTTCAGCTGTAGCTAACAACGGGGTGAGAATTGTCTACCCTAAAGTATTATCCTTTAGCTTTTCTCCACTTAATAGTTTAAGGTTTTTTTTTTTTTGAGTCTAAATATAAATGGTATTATGCAAAGTTTTATCCTGTATTTGTCATATTTCACTTAGCATAGTGACATCCAGATCCATCCACGTTTGTAGCAAACACAGTATGAAACACAGTAATGTTGTTTACTAGGAGTTTTGGTGAAGGAAAAGCAGAAATGGAGGACAAAGAATGCAAAATTACAGACATATATGATGATAAAGTTTTTTAACTTATACAAAACTAATACAAAACCTGAAGGTTAAAGTGAATTTAAAAACTGTGTTTTTCCATTTTTTAATAAAGAGTTTAATTACAAATAGTAATAGACTGTAATATATCATAAACATCCAATCAGGTGTTTAGGTTTCATGTTTTCATTTATGAAATGTTATGTTCTCAAATGAATTTTAAAAATTTCAACTAAAATGACATTATCATTCCCTATTGATTTTTAACTAAATTCTTTGTATTCATATTTTTCTTTTAAATTTTATAATGTACATAGAGGCACCCATATTACTAGGCTTAAGCACACTAATAATCAGACAATTTCAATTATTTTTAGATTATTCAAAAATCCAACTTCATTTTTGTTTATCAAATACTCTTATCTATCAATCAGATCCCCGGGAAGTGAGGTGAACAGTTTACCTGTTACAAAATAGTCAATACCGTGAGATAAAATATTTTCCAAAAAAATAATTCATCATGAAATTTATTTTGTGCTCTTATCAATGTTTTTAAGGAGTTCCTGGTATAACTTTGATTTTTGCTGTTTTCATTGATTGGTTTGAAGTTTACACACATTAAAAGCAAACATTTTAAATGGAGTTGTGAAACTCAGAAAAAAAAATTGCAACAATATTGGAATATTTCATCCTTCAAAGATAGAGCATTCCATCATTCTAAAATATTCTCATGTGGCATGTTATAATCAGACAACCTCTGCTTTGACACAAGAAACACAGATTTTTTTCTCCTTCTTAATTATTTTGAATGGTTCTAGACTTCTAAGTAAATGGAATCACACACTACTTGCTTTTTTAGTGTCTGGGTTCTCTATCAACATAATGATTTGATATGCAT